TACCTACTTGTGTGAAAAAGCGATTGCCCCCTAAAACCTAATAACTGGCCTTAACTAGAGCCGTCTACTTGACTGTAACAGCAGACAAATACTTCACAGGGTTTATTCCTGTGGTTTGAAACTTTGATCCAGGTCACTGGATCAAGGTCTTAATCAGTTATTAGCGTGCTCATTTCCACGCTAATAATGAGCACGCTATTGTAGCGCAGAAATTGCGCTTCAATTTCTGCTTGGATAAACTCTCTTAATTTGATAAAAAAAAAACTGAAATTTGAGAATGAGCCAGCATCAAGTTACTCAAACGTCCTCCAGGTCACTTCTAGACAAAGAAGATTTGTTCTAACGCAGATCATTAAGTGTGAGAGAAGAAAGAAAAAACAGAAAGTGGCAGAAAAATTATAAATGCCTCCTTTTAGCGTATATAAGCACATCCCTCTTGAACGGCGAGTCACACAGCGCGAACACAAAAGCTCCACTCTTTCTCCTTAACTGTCCTCTTTTTCTTTAAGTGGTACCAGACGTAGGCATTTCTTCATTCAGCTCATTCAAACTGAGGCAACTTGCCATTCTTTATTTTTTTAACAAAACGAGCGGTAAAAGCCAAACATTAGGTCATGGAACATTTTCACCCAGAGAAATAAGTCACCGCCTTCAATGAGACATCAAAACCAGTTGGAGTATTCTCCTGCAAGAAAATATGAGCTGGTGAGGAACTTTCTCAAAGTCAAGTGGTGCTGTGGGACTTTTTCCCTGTTATTTGAATACGACTTTCAACAGTGTGGCGCACATGCGTTTCCAATTAGGAGCTCAGAGCCAACGACCAGAGCTGGGCCCCACTCAGCCGTTCCACGACTGACCAAGTCTCAGGAAATGTTAAACAGGCATCATAACCGTGACAGAGACAGCAGATTTTTCAAAAGCCTTTGCTCTCTAAACAATAATTAAGACATCACAGTGGACTGATTATGTAGACTGCAAAAAATGCAGAAACCTAAATAGAGGAGAGAGCGCATAATTAATCATACGTTTCTGTGACACATTTATAGCTGGGGCGCTTGCACAAAGCTATTTGTCTGTTTGGTAAATGCGCATGAAGCATGCTTAGAGTCAAAAGAAACAATATGTCAATGGTGTTGATTTGTGGGGACCCTAATGAGAGCGCATGGTTTACATGAGGCAGTCAGAGCAGGATTCACTTCACTCACAGCAGCAATAACTCCCCGTGAGCCTGTCTCTGCTCAGACTTCAATCTCCAGGCCCTTAGGAGCTGTTGGAGGACTTTGATGTTCTGTCTAAATGAATCGACTGTGCTTCTTGATACAGCCCCTCCCGTCAACTAGCCCCCCCCCCCCCACCCACCAATTCTGTCACCTGTGATAAACACCACGAGTGCTCAGAAGTACCAAAATTTGGATCACATGCTCAGAAAAGCCACATTTTCTTCTCCTCCTCCCTCCAGCTTTGTAAATAACTGGGGGAAAAAAAATATATGATTGTTGTTTTCCACTGCGCTCTATCTGAATCCAGACCTTTTGATGTGTGTGGCTGCATTTGAGCAGGCAACACCAGGCTGGTTTTTGTTACCTTACAGCCCTGCAACGTTCAGTAAGTAAGCCTTTATGTAGGATGGCCCCACAGGGCATGGTGTTTGTTAGAGCCAGGGCAAAGGCAACAACCTCCGATTCCCTCCTCCCCCCTCCCCACTTTCTATCATACTGGAACACTTTCTTACAAAGAATCAGAGCCAGAGAGCTCTACGTGCATGTGGGTTCACTGACTTGATCGAAACAAGATCTAAGGCTTATTCAGGAGCACTTGTGTGCAGCAAGGAATGTGGACATGTAATAATGAATCTGCTTTGAGAGAGCCATGCAATGTCACAGATGCTAACTTGAACATGCATAAGGGCATGAATGGCAAAAAAAAAGTATAATTCTAGCCTTAATAGAGGACAAAACTAAAGTTGTTGTTGAAGTTGTTGAAATGATTGAAAATGAAAGTTTTTTGTTCAGAGACCAAACCATGAAAAAAAAAAAATGTTATGTCTGGCTACACTGAACCCACTATCCCCATGATGAAACATGGTGGAGGTAGCATCTTGCTTAATTTTAGATACTTCTAGTTGTTTTGAGTACAAAATATCTATATATCTTATCTGTAGGTTCTGCTAATCATAGTCATGATATGAACACTGACCTATTATTTTTTTTAATTTGGCCTACAGCTTTTTGTTTTTTTGGCACCTGAATTAACTCACTTCCACTAATTGCAAAATCTGTAACTTCTAAACTTTAATTTAGTTTTATGCAAAGTTTTTTTTTTTTTTTACTTGGATACTTTTGCAATATTTTGTTGGTAAAATTTTCACAAAATAGCCATTTGTTTGGCATTCTGACAAGTACTAGTTTTGGAACCACAGTTTCAGTTGGATCTGAAACTTAAACCAAAAAAAAAAATTTAAAATCGGAAAATTGACTCTTTATTTTGTTAAAGTGAGTGCACTCAGTCCTCAAGTCAAAAAAAAACAAAATATTGATGGGTAAAATAACAAAATACAGGTGTAAATGGAGAATATAATGTTATGCATATAATATATGTATGAATCCACGTCAAAACAACTGCATTTGTCAAGCAGTATTACATTTTTGTTCCTTGAAAAAGGTTTGGAAGATCAAAGATTTTCCCCTCTCAATTTTCTATTTCCTGGACATATCCAAACATTTTAATACATTCAATTAATTCAGTCAATTTTCAAATTGAGGGTCAGCAAAAAGAAATGAAAATAGCTCTTTTGAGGCTTTTCAAAGAACAGAAACTAATTCTTTCTTTCAAAACGTCTCAGTGTTCTACCCAGTAAAACACACTGAAGTTCAGGTTACAACGTGGCAACATGTGAAGAAGCTCAAAGGCTATGAACGCTTCTGTAAGGACCTGTATCCCTTCTAAGCTTCCTCTTGGTCAATTTTCATTTGCCCAAATCCAATCAGCATCGATTCTGCATTTTCCGCAAGCTGAGGTAAAGGCTTTCCTTGAAATCTTAACTTGGATGAAACAGCAGTATTTAACCTATCACAGCCTCGGATGAGCTGGCTGGGTTTTTGAAGGGAAGTATGAGTTCTACAGGCGAAGGCATTGATCCTCCCACACCTTGGGTTTTTCCCAGCGTGTACAACGATTCCTGTGCAAAGCCTCTGAACACTTCTCTCCCTCCTCCAGCAGGTCGATGGTGAGCAAACCTGCCCCTGGATCGAGCATCTCATTTAGTCGCCGGGCCCCTTTGATGTGGATTCAGTGCTGCGGTGCATATCATTTGTGTTTGAAGGTTCAGCTTCCACAATACAGCGAGGGTTTGAAGTTTCACATATTGCAGGTGCTACAATGTGATAATCCGGGAGCTGGTTATGCATTATACATTTTTTTTTTTTTTCATAAAAGAACACTATAAACTCAAAGTGAAATGTGGAAAAAGTCAGCGCTTGAAGGTATATATTGACAGAAACAGCTTCTGAGACTTCGGGGTGCGGGACGAAAACACTCTTGTTATCTCGAGCTTTTCAGAATCAGCTCTACATCTTCACACAGAAGGGGGTAAATATCCAAATAAACAGAGTAGAATAACATTTGACTAGGGCCTGCTATGCCGTTATGAGACCAATTTAGTTCACTGAGCACTTCTCTCAGGGCACGGAGAGGAGAAGGGGCCATGACGGGTCCTTCTTAGTCTTCAAGGGCCGGCAATAAAAATCTCTTTTGCCATCTAATTTCACATGGGACTTGATCTGCAGCTCGGGGGCAATTCCTGCAGTGTGCGCTTAAATAAAAGATGAAACAATCATTGTCAACATCGATGTCTTAACAGGAAAAGATCACACCGAATATAATATATATGTCTTTTCAGTTGCTAGACAAATAGGGGAAGAAAATGGCTTCCTGCAGGAAAATTTAGCGATTATATTTCAAGAAGTTAAAAAAAAAAAGAGCTCAGCCTTGCATCAAGCAGGCAGAGGATTTAAAATGGGGGGAGGGTGGGAGTCGTTGCCCAGAGAGTAAAATCTCGTTGACATTTAACGTCTGTAAGAGACCGAGTTTTAAGCAAAGGCTTATGATCTTGATAATTAAAGAGTGTTTGTATGGAGGTGCACAGCTAGGCGTCTCTTTTTAAAAGATGTTTACTGTCTCTAAAGCGAAGAGATGGTGGCAGCCTCAGGGCCTGCCTACTTTCTTTTCCCCAGCTCTGTCTCTATCTTTTGATAAATACACACAAACACACACATGGGTATATATATGCAAACTCTGCACGCCGAACAAACACGCTCGGAAAAAAATAAATAAAATAAAAAAAAAAATTAAAAAAAACACACGCACACGTACACACACGCACAGACAAGAAAGACTTGCTGCTTTTCACAGGCATCAGCCTCTCAATTAGCTTCTGAACTCATTTCTCCCTCCTTGGAAGGGAATTATTTTTCAGCTGGATGCCTTTTCTTTGTTTACTGTGAGCAGACCCGAGCCTTATCAGCAGCTAATCACTGCATGTCAAATTCAAAGACTTGCTGCAGTCACTTTAGAGAGAAAGAGGAATTAGTGAATAATCTTTTAAAGTTCAGATTGTCATTTTAGATTTGAACAATCACCAATTTCTTTTAGATGCACAAATCTGTCTAACAGCCAGGGAGAAGATCAGCGTTTGTTGGATATAATTTGTTGTGACACGTTAATTGCATCTACTTGTAATTCTCTCTAATTGATGCTTGATATGTCTCAGGAAATTAGGCCAACTAGATAACACTGTAAATATTATTAATCCTCCCCGCCTTTCCCTTTTCCGTGGCAGGTCTGATGAATTCGCAACAGCCATAGCTGTAATGTGTCAATGTGCCGCACAGCTATGCTGTGTATTCCCAGGGCTGCCGGGCCGACAAATCTAAGGTTACAGCCGTACCACTGTATATTCAAAACACATTCAGGCACACTGCAGAGAGCCAAAGATGACTAACCTGAGCGATTTTCACTGAGTTCTGGGTAGAGCCACCGGCGTGGTATTCAACTTTGTTTCTCTTGACAATTTCTTCAAACCTGAAATAAGAGCAGACCTGTCAGTCAATGTGAAGTTTAGGCTTATTTGTCCAAGATCCCAATGTCATTAATATGCAGGATAATGAAAATATGCGGCTGCATCTGTCATAGGATGCTCCCTTGACCCAGTGCAGGTGGGAGACAGAAGGAGTCTAACTGAAATACCATGAACTAAGCTGGAGAGCTCCTTCAATGACAGACTGCTGCATCCTAAGTGCACAAAGGAGTATTACCGCAGACCATTCCTCCAAGCAGCTGTAACACCGCTGCTCCCAACAGGTTCCTGCTCCCAACAGCTTCCTGTTGGTATTTACTCATATCTGTTGCTTGTACAGTTTTATTCACACTTCTGGTAAAAAACACTACAAAAACACAAAATCTTAAGTGTTTGTGACTTAGTACACTTAAAATAAAACAAAACTAACCTACAAGAAACTTTTTGGCACAATATAGGAGCTTGTTTTAAGTCAATAATTTCTTAATATTGATGAAAAAGTGCTAGTTACAAGTGAAGTGGCAGGTTACAAGACATTCTTCTCAATCTTAAAATGCCTTGTTCCACTGACAGATTATGTCATTTATAACTAGTACTTTTTAATCAATATTAAGGAATTATTGACTTAAAACAAGTTAATACTTTATGCTGAAAAGTTAGTGTTGCCTTATTTTAAGTGTACTAAGATATTTTCACTGGAACTAGACCAAAAGTACTTGCTGATATTGTGTTTTTTGCAGTGTAGTGTGTTATTTTTTTAATACACATGCACATTTTGTATTTGTTTTTTTTTTATTTTCCTACTCTGTTGCACCTTTATTTGGAATGAAGCATGTTAGATTTTAATAAAAATAACTGCACAAATTTTGTACTTTTACCCTTGCATTTTACCTATTTTACTTTTACCTAGCATTTTATTCTCAATCCTGTTATTTTATTTGTCTTTATCTTTGTGTGAATGTCACTTTCCTGCTGCTACATCCAAACTTTCCCACAATGGGACAATAAAAGGACACCTCTATTCTATTTCTTTTAGTTCTATGAGGCAAAAGATTTCAACCCCACTGAACGTTTTTACATTTCTTTCATGACACAAACACCAACTTAAACATATTTATTGAGATCTGTGACAGACAAACCAAGGTTGAGAATAATTGTGCAGCGGAAGGACTTATTTTTAATGGGGTTTTCTTTATAACACCTTTTACTCTGTTACTCCTTACTAAACTCTAGAGCACAATTTCTAAAGTGGGGTAAACAATAAACCAGGCTTTGAAGACCTCAAAGGTCGCTTGAAAATGTAGTTAGCCTCAAATGCAAAACTACAAGAACATTAGCTAAACTAATCGACTGGACAAAGACAGTAATGACCAGAAAATCAACCAGGAAGAGCTGCAAAAATCAACGGCTCAACTATAACTAATGCACTCCACAAAGCTGGTCTTTGTGGAAGAGCGGCACGAAGGCCAAAAAACCTAACTTGAACCATTAGACTTTATGCAAAATGCTATGTATTGCAGAAACCACATGCCTCTAGGCCACCTATAACTTTAAAAACACCTGTGCTGTGGTTATAAAACAGCTTTCTCAATAATTATCACATTACAAGACGCGTAGGTGTGACTTGATAAGAGCTACTAATTAGTCACCTGCAAGTTACTGGAAAAGGCTTAAAAACATATAAAGAGCAACTGTAGTCTGTGAAAACTTTGTCAAGTTCATTTGTTTACACTAGCTGTGCACATGGCAATTCAAAGAATTACAAGAAATGATATCAAAATTAACATTAAAGACAAGATGGATAGATAGCATTTGACAGATAAAAAAGTAAAAAGAGGGCAACTGGGGTCAAAATGTCAGCCTGTATAAAGCAAAAGAAGAATCGTTCACACGTGGTTATAGTTAGCCATCCTGTATTAAATCAGGCTGAGCAGTAAAAGTTCAATGTAAGAAACACGATCTGCTTTCTTCAAAACAATACAACATGTAAAAGCAGCTATTAATCTTTAATAAGGCACAATGTGCTGCTGTTTCATAGGCTTTTGCTTTCAGGTCTATTAAATAAATAGCTTTTATAGTTTCTTTGCGTACATAACTAGGGAAAGTAGTTAGGGAGAGTCCACCTCTGACGAAATATTTTATGTCTAAACCATGTCAAAAAAAAGTTTAAAAGTGACAGTAACAGACTAAACAACAACAACAACAACAACAAAAGAAAACAGGCTCCATTACCCTGAGGAACGGGCGGAAAACGATCATGGGAGTTTTCCAACGCGAGGCACAGGAACACACTCTGGCCTGCAGAGAAACACTAAGAGAGTTTCCGTACATTTCGTTTCATCCCTTCGTAATGCCATTTCAGACATCAATAGCGATTGTGTTTCCGCGTAATGTGATGCAAAGCTCGGCTGCAAAGATAGATGCTTATTATCTATGAAGCTGGAATGTGTATATTTTCCACATCGTTCACACAAACAGGCTCCCAGAGGGCGAGCTACAGAAACGTGTCCACCCCACTAACATAATTGACCGAACTACAGTCAAGATGCTATGGCATGTTAGGAGGTGTCTGGCTTCCCCCCCCCCCACTCAACTTTGAATTCAAGTGTGTCTACACCAGGGGCAAAATAATGAAATGACATTAAAGTGAACCACTACATCTCCACTGGTGGCTGTGTAATTTCACTTTAAATAATTAGACTAAAAAAAAAAAATAAAAAAAAAGCTTCCTGTAGAGATGCTTGTGCGTATTCCCAGAACAGTTAGGTTGTGTTCCCAGGCATTTTAAGATTTAAAGATATTTTCAGGGATGCAGGATGTGAAGCGGAGCGCCTACATTTCATTCAGTGAAACATGCATCTGTTGTAAATATAGTTCAAAGACAAGTGTGATCTGTATGCAAAGTGTATCGTGGCTTACCAACATGCAGGAGTCAGAGAAGTTCAATACTCCTGGTTCAACCTGGTTTAACTAAGCATGGCCGAATTTTGAGCTGGTGTGAAAGTAACCTTTACTGGTTCAAAGAAAGTCTACAGATCATGTCTCAAGGCAACGAGTCTACCCAGGGCAGAGTGCTCTGAATAATATAAAATAAAAAAAATAAATAAAAAAAACTTTCCTTACAAGTGGAAAATATGCTAACCGGGAGGGGGGGAAATTGTTCCTGAGACACCTGTTTTGACTCCTTGACAAAAGAAGAATTTGAGCACTGTGGGTGTTTATAACATGAAGGGAGCCGAGGGACTCCAGACCCATTTCAAATAGACACACAGCTTCAGAGGATTTGAGGGTCTTTTTTTTTTTTTTTTCCCACTAGAACTATTTGCTCCACCTTTCAGTGCAGACAGCATGGGGCCCTGCTCTTGGAAGCCTCGAAAAATCCCATCCGAAAAGGAGCAGCTGCCTCGAGACCTTTACACCCTCAAACATCATGTGATCCCACAGTAGTGACACCGTAAACGGCCCCCATGGCCATTTAGGGGTAGAAAATCCCTTTCCATCTACTGCAGCCTGAGCCGACTACGCGATGGGAGGGAGCAGAGAGAAAGAAATTGTTTTGAACAAAATGTCCTCAGCTACTAACCTCAGCTTTTAAAAGCTGCCGGTGTCGTTCAATGGAGGAACAATTTCAACCATGCCACGCATTCCACTAATGTATGGTCAGTTTGTGTTATATAACAAGGGCAGTCCAGCCTACTGCCAGTTAAAAATGAGCCTGAGCCACATGTATAATGTACATTTTGTTTCTCATATCTTCCAATGTGAAATGAATTAAATGAAAGTGAATTAAAATACAGTGTATTGTAATATGCTGAGGGTTTTTCTTCCCAACAAAATCCTCGCCCCGACAGTTTAGTTCAACTGCAAAATAAATCGAAATAAATCGAAGCAAATTTCGCATGCCGATATTACAGCCCTCCATGCCAAAACATTATGTAAACAGCAGGTGGCCAACATGATAAAGCTCACAATGAATGGTGTAGAGATTGTGATGAAGGAAATAAAACGACAGAATTAGAAAAATGTAAGTTAATGATAATCATTAACATCATAGCAACACTCAGCAATAGAACTGTGATTGAAAGTTTTGGTGTTTCTGGTTATTCTCCTAAAATCATCCCCAAGGCAAGTGTGAACTGATTCATGGTTAAAAGACACATCCTGTGGAAGGTCTTTGTATGCTCAGAATAACTAGAACCCCAGTGAGAATAAATGGCTACAAGAAAATGGCTAATTGTCTAAAGTTGCTCAGAGATAGAGTGGATTAAATAAGACAACATTTTCCCAGAATGGTACGTACTAATGCCTAATCCACACAAAAAACATTGTACAGGAGATATATCCTTCAGCACTATCTCCAGACTTGATAAAACATACCATGTGTAGAACTTGCCACAAGTTAAAAGCTACTATATTTCTACATATTTACAGTTAGAGCAATAAAAAAACACCTTATAGTAACTGGAACTAAAAAGACCCGATGAGAACCTAAGTTTATTTTGCCATTGTGCACAAGGATGAAGAGGATAGCAAAGTGGGCTCAAAAAAAATCTCACTATAAAAACTGCAGTCAATGTTTTGGTGAGATTATGCAACTCAAAGAACAATTTCATTTATTTTAATGCGTCTCTGACATCTTTACCAGATGGGCCAATAAATGTGGAGGGTGCTGCAGGCTAAATCAGAGTCGTATCCCAATTAGAGTAATAAGTCTGCATAAAATATTTTTATTCAGAGGATTTTGCAGTGCAGCACCATGATTCTTCCTCAGCTTAACACATCTGTAACTGCAGGGCAGATCAAACAAGTTGGGATCATTGTGCTGTTTACATTCCTGGGGACGGAGCCCCCAACGTTGTTTCCCATCAAGGGAAATATGAGAGCTCCCAAAGTACTTTGAGTGTTCTCTGCTTTGAGTCACTCATGAGTTTCTTTTAACCCCCTCTTAAAAAAGAACAAGAAAAACAAGCCAAGTATATTATTTACATGAGGCAATAATTCAAGA